CATAGGTTATCTCTGGGTGGGTGCGGAAGAAACCAATAACATTGCTTTTGCCTCTGCGGAGGGGACGAGAGGAGTGGGAGGCTTTTCACTGTGTATCTTTTTGTATTTGGAATCACATGAAGTACTACCTATTAAAATTGAGTATTTGAAAGTTGTGTACTTGCTCTGTTTCCTATCTCCCTAAGGAGAATATAAATGTCCTGAGAGTGTATACCATGGCCTTTTGTGTTCCCTATTATGTCCTCAGCACTTAAAACCATGTCTGGCACCTACTAGTACTCAGTAAGTACAGATGAATGAATGAAAGAATGAAGGTCTCTCCCAGCTCTAACATCCTGGTTTCAACCTTAGGGCCTCAAGAATATAAGACATGGATTCCAGGACTCAGCCATTCAGAGGCACCCAGAGAGATACTGGTTTCTTCTGCGGTGTGGTGTACTGTTTTTCTTCGTTGTGATCAATAGGCTTAAAAAAAAAAAAAAGTGACCGGGAGTGTGTGGAGGGTGGGATGTGGAGGACCTGCCTGGCACAGATGTGCTTCCAAGCGAGAGCCCAGGTAGCCACAAGAGGGCAATGTCCTGCTCAGCTCATGCCCCAGTCTTGGCCTCGGGGGTTGGCAGCCTCAGGGACAAGCTAAAGAGGCCCTTTCCCGCCATCTCAAAACATTCAGGATCACAGCTCCTAGCACACTCCAGTTATGAGACTGTCTTCTGCATTAGATTCTAAACTCCCTGAGCTCAGGAACTGACTTTGTCTTGCTCGCCAGTATACTCAGAGCCTGGCATAGAATGAACACAAGAAAGAATGAATGAAAGATTAAATATTGAATGAGAGAACTCCAAGAACAAGGAGAGAAAGCCTGGAATCAGGAGCTGTCATACCTAAGGTCGCCAGCAGGTGGCACTACAGGAACGTTTTTGAGTTGTCTCAGGCTCGCTCTCTTTCCTTCTTTCTCTCTCTCTTTCATTCTCTTCCTTCCTTCCTTTCAATATTTTATTTATTTGTCAGAGAGCGCGAGAGCATAAGCAGGAGGAGTGGCAGGCAGGGGGAGAAGCAGACTTCCCGCCGAGCAGTGGGACTCGATCCCAGAATCATGGGATCATGACCTGAGCCGAAGACCCTTAACCAACTGAGCCACTCAGGCGTCCCTCTTTCTTCTTCTTTCTTTTTTTTTTTTTTTAATTTTTATTTATTTTAGAGGGAGAGCAGGAGCAGGGAGGGGCAGAGGGAGAAGGAGAGAGAATCCCAAGCAGGTTCCACCCTCACACGGAGCCTGACGGGGGGCTCTATCTCAGGACCCGGAGATCACCACCGCAGCCGAGACCAAGAGTTGGACGCTTAACCGACTGAGCCACTCAGGTGCCCCAGCCTGAGCCTTTCAGCGTGGAACCCACAGCCCTATTTTGACCAAGAGAAGGAGTAGCTGATTTTTGACAAATTCACTAAGTCCTCCAGTTGGCATCAGGGACTGTAAGAAGAGGCAGATCTGGAACAGGGAGCTAGAAGCCCCGCATAGAAATCAACACTACAGGGCAACCCTCTTGGGTCCCCATCCTCCTCCAGAGCTTTGTATTATCACTCAACAAACTTTGCTTTACTATCACTCAATAAACCTTGCTTTGCTGCCCACCAAAAAAAAAAAAAAAAAGAAAAAGAAAAAGAAAGAAAGAAATCAACACTACACAGGAAGACAAGTGCTATTCTGACCCTTAGGAGCCCTGACAAGGACGTTTTAAATTTGTTTGAGGCATTTGGGGAAAGTTCACAGAGGAAGTGACATCTGAAGTGGGCCTTGAAATTGAGGAGTATTGGGGCGCCTGGGTGGCTCAGTCGGTTAAGTGTCCCACTCTTGGTTTCAGCTCAGGGTGGTATGATCGAGCCCAGCATCAGTGCTCAGCGCAGAGTCTGCTTGAGATTCTCTGCCTCTGCCCCTTCCTCTGCCCCTCACCCTTCACCCCTCACCTCACTCATGCACGCTCTCTCTCTCTCTCTCTCTCAAATAAATAAATAAAATATTAAAAAAAAAAAAAGAAAGTGAGGAGGATTTATGCAGTTGGAGGACATTCTAAGTGGAGGGAATAGACTCATGGGAAATTGGGAGAATAGCGAATTGACAAGGATGGCTGGGTTTTCCCAGTTTGCTGGGAGATAAAAGAGTAAAGAAAAAATTCTGCTCTGAGAGTTTACATTTTTTTTTTTAAGTAAACTCTACACCCAGCATGGGGCTCAAACTCTTGGCCCGAAATCAATAGTCACATGCTCTACTGACTGAGCCAGCCAGGAGTCCCAAGAGTTTACATTTTTGATTAAAGAACAAAAGACTTAGGAGATTAACTAATGCAACGCATACAGTAGGGGCTCAAGAAATAGTCAATGGATTGAGATTTATGTGTCAGGTAAATAGTAGAGGCTCAATAAACATGCTGAATGAATGAATCATGGAACTTTGGGTGGTTTCTTTGCTAAATCACATGTCCTTGCTGATGCTTTAAGACCTTGTTTTCCAAGATTCTTCCCCTCTGTGTCCAATGCTCTTCACAGGCAGCATTTCTCTCTGCCAAAGACAAGAAACCCTGACCCCAAGGGGAAAGGGTTGCAATAACCTGTGACCTCCCTGGCATCCACAGCCTTACAGAGAATTCCCAAGTCCTGTCCCTAGAACATAGTCTCCTTCCTTTGGACTAGATAACAGTAATCATCAGTTATATTTTTATACCTGATGTTATCCATCACCTCCGTGTTGCTAAATCAACTGGACACATTTCCATCCTCATTTTTACGTGATTCGGAGGACTGCTTCTTTCTCCAGACACTCTCCTTCCTACCTGGGTGACCCGTGCTCTCCAGTTTGCCACCTGCCTCACTCCTCTTCTTGGTTTCATCTGCCAGCTTCTCTGGCTCCTCTCTGTAGCCATTAAAGGTTGAGTTCTGGGCCCTAGCCTCCTCTGCTTTATCCTTTCCCTGGATGAGCTCATTCTTGCCGAGGTTTCAATTACCGTCTAGATGTCAACACGCCTCAGCTCTCTCCCGAGCCCTCTCTTGGAGCATCAGCCCACACATCCAACAGCCAAGTTGACTTTTTCACTTGGGTGTCTCTTGGGCATCTTAATCTCGACATGTTTAAGAACCCCTCATCTTCCCCACCTGCTCCCCCTCCGGGGTCCCTATCATGGTGCACGGCTGCATCACGCAGCCCGTGCTTGCGTCCGGAAGCCTGTGTGAGTCATCCTTGACTCAAGTCCTGATCCTCCCACCCCCTCAATATCTCCCGAGACCTTCCACTGCTCTCCATCCCCAGCACTGCCATTATCTAGAGCTGCCCCTTCTGGGGGCCATTCTCTCCTCAGTAGCCAGGTGACTTTTTAGAAATGCAAATGAGATCATGTTACGTATCAAAATTCTTCAAATACCCTCCCATTTCTCTTATATAAAATCCAAGACCTTTAACCATGACCTTCAAGACCCCGTATGATCTGGCTAATGCCCACATTTCAGGCTTCATCTCTTGCTGCTCTTTTCTCCATGCTACTTCAACCAGTTTGAATTTCACTTAAGCATTCATTCATTCATTCTACCAGGTATTTATACTTCCATTTAAGCATTCATTCATTCATTCATTCTACCAGGTATTTATACTTCCATTTAAGCATTCATTCATTCATTCATTCTACCAGGTATTTATACTTCCATTTAAGCATTCATTCATTCATTCATTCATTCATTTGGGCAACCAATATCTGTGCCAGATGTGGTCCTAGGTACTTGGGTGTGAACAAGGCAAATGGTTTTGTCCTCATGGAGCATCGTGTTTTCTCTTCCTGCCTCAGGCTCTTCTCACATGTGGCTCCCTCTGCCTGAACTCCCCCCTCCAACATACACACTTTACTCCCCTTAACCTTCTAGCTTCTGAACTTCCCAGTTCATCATTCAGGCCAAAATTAAGTGCCATTTCCTCTCCGAAGCTTTCCCAGACCTCTCCGGCTCAGTCAGGAACCCCTGTTGTAGATTCCCACAGTCCTGAACTTGTCCTTCATTATTCATGTCTGTTTTCCCTGCAGGACCAGAGGCTCTAAGAGACGGAGAACCAGGCCTGCTTCGTTCACTGGTACCGGGCACTCTGCTGGGCTCCTATCACGAACTCCGTACCTACTGCTTGAATGAAAGCACATGTCCTTATCATTTGGATCTGCTTTTTCAAAATATTTGAGGATGACATCTTAAATGTTGCCACAGACACAGCCCTGCTACTCAGTCTTGTATAGTCACGTCTGCCTTGTGCCAAATGCTGTGCTTTGAAGGAGACTATTGATCCTGACATTTCCCTGGCTCAAGAAAGCAACACCCAGCCTGCACAGAGATTTGCCCCTAAAGCCCTTTCCCTCAGTCAGCTTGTCCCACAGAAAGGTGGCTCATGGATCAAAGAACACAGGCCTCACCTTGAGAGGGATTCTCATCTCCAGCCTTGGCCACTTGCGAGTTATATGAACAGGTCATTCAACGTTTCTGACCCTCAGCCTTCCTCCCTGTGAAGACGGGCATCATAATCCATGCATTGCTGGGCTGATGGGAGGGGACTACTCTTGTTAGCTTTTCTCCTAACCACAAGGCCATGTATGTTCTTGGTTAGCCGTCTGGCTACTGGGTCAGAGACACCAGGGTCTGGGTCTTGGCCCTGTCACTTCATAGTAAGCTGACCATGGGGGAAGTAACATAACATCTGAGCCTCAGTTTCCTAATGTAGAAAATGGGGACAGAGTCACACCTGCATCTAGGGTTGTGGTGGGCACTTATATGAAGTTAATGTGTACGGAGGACTCAGCCCAGAGCCTGGCATATGGTAAATGCCCAATGTATGTGCATAGTATCATGACAGAGATGTAAGGGGGACAGAGAAGTGGGGTCCACGGTTCTGATCTTCACCGGTGAATTCATTTGGGAACTATTATCATCTAATTTGTGGAGGGTCCTGAGGGAGGTGCCATTGGATATGGATCCCACTCCCAAGTCTAGTAGAGGAGAGAAAACATGTCTATAATTAAGGAGGATTTCATGTGCCAAGTGAGACATTTTATTAAAAAAAAAAAAAAAAGCCGGGGCGCCTGGGTGGCTCAGTTGGTTAAGCGTCTGCCTTCGGCTCAGGTCATGATCTCAGGGTCCTGGGATCGAGTCCCGCATCGGGCTCCCTGCTCCTTGGGAGCCTGCTTCTCCCTCTGCATTTCTCTCTCGCTGTCTCTCATGAATAAAAAAAAAAAAGCCAGAAGACTTAAAAGCTTATTGAATGAAAGAAGCTAGAAGTAAAAGAGTATATATTACATGATTCCATTTTTATGAAGTTCTAGAACTGGCAAAACAATCTGTGGTGATGGAGGTCAGCAGAGGGGTTCCTATTAGGGTACTGTCTGGGAGGAAGTATGAGGGAACTTTCTGGAAATGTTCTGTGTCTTCATCTGGGTAGTGGAACCCTGGGCATAAGCAAAATATGTAAAACTTCAACCGAAGGTACACTTGAGATTTGTGCACTTTACTGTATATAAATGATAATTGAAAAAAAAATTGTGCCAGAGGAGTTTAGAAAAGGGAGCAATTTCTTCTAGCTTAAGTGGACTTAAGTGCAAGGAAGAAATGGCCTCTCTCTCTCTCTCTCAGGGGCTCAGTCACAGAAGATCTAAACAAATCACTTCAACTTACCTTAATGGAGTCAGGAATCATCAGTAGGTGGTTTTGGAGATTATTCGTTGTTTACAATGCAAAAAAAAAAAAGTTTAAGATTATATAATTGCAAAAGTCATATTCAGGGAGGTAATTATCAAGTGTAACATGAGTGTTCTATTTTTGGGATTCATTGCTAGCTCTTCTGGCCCTTCATTCCCTTTGGCTAATGTGATTGCGAGTTGTTTTTCTGGTTCTCTTCTCTCGGAGGCGGCTGGATGATGGGAGGCCACGGATGGGGAATACAGAGTGGGGTGATCAGTCGAAGTTCTGCTGGGCTCTCCTCTTGGCAAAGCACCTGTGTATACAGCATCTCAACCGACAGCAGTCCAGGAGGGAGACAGGGGTATCAGTCATGGTTATTGATTGCAAGCAACAGAAACCAATCCTGAATAGCTTAAGCAGAGAAGGAATGTATTGGGAGGTTATCAAATAGCTCAGAGAATCAAAAGAAAAACTGGAGAACGAGGGTGAGAAAGCAGGCAGGGATCAGGGAGGGCTTACTCGAACCCGTGTATTTTAGGGAGCTTTTGTGTCAGCCGCTTAGCTGTTACAGTTCACATTTGGGAATGTTCAAGACAGATTTTCCAGAAAGCAGGGGCACGGAGAGGGATGGAAGGAGGTAGTTTGACCAGCAGAGAAAGGAGAGTCCAGGAGGGAACAACTGCAAAGTCAGGGAGGTAGGAAAGGATGGTGCGGGCGGCTTGTGGGCAGGAGCGGGGAGGGGTAAAGCTGGGAGGGCAGGGTGAGGTATGGTGGAGAGCTTTGCATGCCTGGGTGATGAGTTTGTACTTAGACCAGTGGGAAAAAGGACCCACTGGTCTAAGAAGGTTTTCGAGCGATGGGATGAGGTTTTCTATTTGTCCTTCAGGAAGAATAACCTGGTACCCACAAGGGGACTGTGTGGAGCAGGAAGCCTGGACCACGGCCAGTGGGCACAGTGAGCCCCGGTGTCAATGGCTCCTGAGAGACTGAGGAGGAGGACCAAGAGAGGGCTTTGGGCCTGGGTCTCTGGCAAGCCCGAGGAAAGCAGTTTCTGGAGCATTCTGGGGCCAGGCCGGTTTGCAGGGAGCTAGGGACTCAGTGGGTGCAGACGACGTGGCGTCTCAGGGGGATGAGAACCAGGGGCTCCAGTCCAAGCTCTCCACCTCCTGCCCCAGCCTGTCACTGCCTTCAGCTGCTTCTGGGTCCCCATCCCCTTCCTTAGCTCCCCCCAGCCTCAGAGCTGAGTTTTCCCTCTGGAACTCTCCTCTCTTCTGTTCCCCCAGCAGGACAAAGCATCTTAGCCTCTGAGGAGACCTCGGATGGGAAGGCGGAGGCTTGGGAAGGGGCAGGGGCTTGCCAAGGACACAGCCAGGAGGAGGCAGAGCCAATAGCCAAAGTCCATCTCATCTGCCCCAGCCAGGGCTCTTCTCTCCCACCCTGTCTCTTCTGAGAAGCTGTCCCTTACTGCGCCCCTTCATTGGTTTACTTTGTAGCCCCGTGGTTTGCATGCACCCAATTTGTATTGTGTTGTGACTTCAAAGTCCTCATTTGGCATTGTTTTCCAATGAGACCTATTGCTTGTCCTTGGCATCTCTTCCAGAAGCGGGTCCAGGGCTCTGCACAAGGCTGCATCACGGAAATCAGGAGCCCAGAGAACTCTGGGTTCTGCCAGGAGGGGGCCGAGTGCAGTCCCAGCCCCAGAGGCAGTGCTGGTAGGAAAGCATGGAAACAGGGAGGAAGGACTGAGACAGAGGGCAGTGAGCCGGCTTTTTGCTCCTGGGAAGTCCCTCTAGGGAATCCCTTCACCTCTGAGGAGGATTCAAGCCCTGCCCCCAGTCTCTACAGGCCTGGCTTGAACAGGAGTTTCTCAGGACCAGGCTTGTGGTCCGGGACACATGTTACATTCACTCTTCAGTTGTGATTCAAGACCTGTGAGTGGCGTACAGTCCAAGTCTAAACCTGAGCTTTGATTATAAATTCCCCAGGACATATCCACCCTCCCACTCCAACTCAGGCTGAGACGTGCAAGTGTCCTGGTTTCTCTCGTCTGCGCCTTCATGGAGGGGATCGTCCTTTGAGGGTCCCGGTTTATCGGAGGGTGTCAGTTCTATCTCCTTACCCTATACTCCCAGAACCTGGACCCACCACCCCTTTGCCTGACCCATCTCCCCACCCTGGGAATCAACCCCTGATATTCTTTTCTTTAAGTAAGCTCTATGCCCAACGTAGGGCCCGAACTCATGACCCTGAGATCAAGAGTCTCACGCTCTACTGACTGAGCCAGCCAGGCGCCCCCCTGCTCCCCCCACACCCCTTGCTTTTCTTCACCCTCACTCTAGATGAATCTTAGTCAAGTGCGGCTCTGATCATGCTCAAGAACCTTCAGAGGCTCCCCATGGATAAAAATGTAGCATTTCAGGCCTCGACAGCAGGACTTCAACCCAACTTTGCAGTCTCCTTACTGGCCACTCTTAGCAGGGAGGCCGCTGGGCAGGCAGGCAGTGACTCGGGGGGGCCCCAGGGGGAAGTGCAGATCACCTGTTGGGCACTTGGGGCCCCTTGCCTGGCCAAATGATAACCCCTCCCCACCCCGTCACTCATGTTCTTCTCAGACTTCATTTGCCCATTTTATTCATAACATTGCAGGGAAGAAGAAAAATGCTATTTTATTTATTAATTTATTTTTAAGCCGGCTCCATGCCCAGCGTGGAGCCCAACTCAGGGATTGAACTCATGACCCAGAGACCAAGACCTGAGCAGAAATCAAGAGTCGGCCGCCCAACCGACTGAGTCCCAGGTGCCCTGAAAAATGTTATTTTAAAAAACTGCCTAGAGGGTTGCCTGGGTGGCTCAATCGGTTAAGCATCTGCCTTCGGCTCAGGTCATGATCCCAGAGTCCTGGGATCTAGCCCCACATCTGGCTCCCTGCTCAGTGGAGAGCCTGCTTCTCCCTCTGCCGCTCCCCTTGCTTCTGCTCTCTCTCTCAAATAAATAAATAAAATCTTGGGGGAAGAAAAGCTGCCTGGAATGGTAAATTTTGTTATGTATATTTAACTACAAAAAAAAAAAAAAAGCTGCTTGGAAGCATTTTCTAGACTAAGCCAGACTTTATCTTGGTGGAAGACTGCCTTTTTTGGGGACAACATACCTACTTGGCCTTTCAGTTATGGAAAGCAGGTTTTGGAATGAATGTGGAGGGAGAAGCTGAGACCAAAAGAGACAGCTGAGCTCTTTGCATCCTGAGGTTGGGGAGTGGGAGGAGGCGGTTAGGTTGTTGCTTCTGTTTGGTCATTAATGCTGTTCTTGTTTCCTTCCTCGGAGGATCCAGGAAATGGGTTTGGACACGGAGAAGATAGGGCAGGGACAGAGGACTTTGATCTGAGCTGGGAAGGGCCCCACTAACGTGGCAGGGAGTGGGGGAGGACGAGGAGCCTTAGGATGTCTTTTTTTTTTTTTTTTTGAGTAAGCCCCACACCCAACATGGGGCTTGAATTCATGAACCCAACATCAAGAGTTGCATGCTCAGGTGTCTAGGTGGCTCAGTCAGTTACATGTCTGACTTTGGCTCAGGTCATGATCTCAGGGTCCTGGGATTGAGCCCCATCGGTTCTGTGCTCAGCGGGGAGTCTACTTCTCTCCCTCTCCCTCTGCCCCTCCCCCTGCTCCCTGCTCATCCTCTCTCTCTCAAATAAATAAATAAAATCTTAGGGGCGCCTGGGTGGCTCAGTCATTAAGCGTCTGCCTTCAGCTCAGGTCATGATCCCAGGGTCCTGGGATCGAGCCTCGTGTCAGACTCCCTGCTCAGCGGGAAGCCTGCTTCTCCCTCTCCCACTCCCCCTGCTTGTGTTCCTTCTCTCAATCTCTCTCTCTGTCAAATAAATAAAATAAAATAAAATAAAATAAAATAAATCTTTAAAAAAAAGAGTTGCATGCTCTACTGAATGAGCTAGCTAGGGCATCTCCCCCAAATGCCCTTTGTAACCAAATTTTACCTGGACCATAATTTGAGGAGGAGGTTGGTCCATGGCAGCAGGTGAGGAGGAATCTTATGTAACCTGGGCTTTGGGAGAAAAGGGACTGTCACCAGGGTTGGGGTAGAGTTCCCAGGAAGGAGGTGGAAGGTAGGAGACCTGGCTTCCTCTGAGGCCTGTGGCTCTGTTGGACATCAGGGCCTGGGGGGCAGCAACGTTCTGGGGGCCTTCAGGAAGGTGCTGGAGGCTTTCTCTGGAACCCAGGCCTGGCTACGGAGCTGAAAAATAATGCAAAGGAACTCCCACCTCATTAACTTGCCTGGCCTTGAGGGCTAGGGGGAGGCGGCTTGGCCTGGCAGGCAAATGGCCAGGAGTTAGCTGTCTAGAGAGAAGAGCAGGACGGTTGGGTTCCTCTCACTTTCACTGTGGAAAGAGAGGAGAGAGAGGAGCAATTTGCAAGTCTCCCTCGGAGCTCTTTTCACTTCCATAGGAGGCTGAAGAGTGGGATGAGTCATGTTTCCAAATGCAGTGGAGGAAGGAGACCCAGCCTCTCTCCCGGTCCCCTCCTGGTGAGGAGAGACCCGCTGTCTTGTCCACTTGGGCAGGATTGGCAGCAGGAGGAGATTTATTAATTTGTAAAAAAATGAAGATAGCTTTGGATATTTTCTGCTTATTGTAAAAGGTTTAGATAGTTGCACATATATAACAAAATCACATCATTCCATCACCCAGAGATAGAACATGTAAGCCTCTGGAGTCAAGCTTCCCACACTTTGTTTTCTTATACATTCTTATGCATTCGTGACCCAGAAGTCAGCTGGGCTCTTAAGATTGAGATAAGATGGGCTTGAACTCTTTATTCTCTACCCCATAGAAATTCCACTCCCTCCTCAAAACTGAGCTTCTCTGGGGGCACATGTGTGTATCGAAGACATTCTTAAGGTCAGAGGGACAAAGAATGAGGTTATGTCTCAAGAGCACAAACCATTTAAAATTGAGGTTGAGGGGCACCTGGGTGGCTCAGTTGGTTAAGTGTCTGCCTTTGGCTCAGGTCATGATCCCGGCGTCCTGGGATCGAGCCGCGCATCAGGCTCCCTGCTCAGTGGGGAGTCTGCTTCTCCCTCTCCCTCTGCCCATTCATGCTCTCTCTTGCTCACTCTCTCTCTCAAATAAATAAATAAAATCTTTAAAAAAATAAATAAAATTGAGGTTGACCTGGGATGCCTGGCTGGCTCAGTCAATGGAGTATGTGACTCTTGATCTTGGGGTCGTGAGTTCGAGTCCCACGTTGGGTGTAGAGATTACGTAAATAAATAAAACTTTACATAAAAAAAGAAAATAAAATTGAGGTTGACCTGCTGTTGATAAAAGTCCTCAGGTCCTCTGTCAGGGCTTGTGCCACCTCCCTCCTTCTTTGGGCTCCTCCTTTCAGATCCCGCATGTGGTTCCTGGTGTACGTCTCTTCTAGGCTGGGCTGAGAGCTGGTATCCTTGGGTGCATAGCACTTCCCCCCTCAAGTGGCTTATCAAAGTGTTACCTAAGGAGAGACAATTCTTTCTCTAAGGAGCCTGCTGCCATCTGCTAAGGCAACAACTCCTTCTCTCCTGCTAGACGTGTCTTTTTTTTTTAAAACAAAAATGAGCTCATTCTTTTTTTTTTTTAAGATTGTATTTATTTATTTATTTGACAGAGAGAGACACAGCGAGAGAGGGAACACAAGCAGGGAGAGTGGGAGAGGCATAAGCAGGCTTCCCGCTGAGCAGGAGCCCAATGTGGGGTTCGATCCCAGGACCCTGAGATCATGACCTGAGCCGAAGGCAGACACTTAATGACTGAGCCACCCAGGCGTCCCAAAATGAGCTCATTCTAAACATTCTCTATGACAACAGAGCTGATCTTTTCTCCATTTCACAAAAGAGGATCTGAAATGAAACCTTGACTCTTGCCTAAAAGCCTCTCTGCTCAGATCTTTACCCAGCTAGTTCTTCCAGCCAGACAGATCTGTGCCCCGGAGTTCCACAACTCGTAAACACCTCTAAATGGTGTGTTTAATGTTGTATTTCTTATTTATTGTTTACTCTTCTCACTAGAATGTAAATTCAGTGAGGTCACAGACTGGGTCCGTTTTCTTCATTGCTCCATCTTTGGAATTAATCACTTCGTAGACTGTATTATTCAGGGTTCTCCAAAGAAACAGAGTCATTAGGATGTGTATATATAGAGAGAAGGACTCATTTTAAGGAATTAACTCATGTGATTATGGAGGTTGGCAGTCCAGAGTCTGCAGGGTGGGCTGGGAGGCTAGATACTCAGGGAAGAGCTGATGTTTTGGTTCACGTCTGAAGGTTGTCAGGCTGGAGAATCCCCGCTTGCTCATGGCAGGTCAAGTCTTTTGTTCTAAGTGGGGCTTAAACTGATTGGACAAGGCCCACCCACATTTTGGAGGGCAATCTGCTTTACCCAAAGTCCAACAGTTTAAATATTAATTCATCCCTTGGGTGCCTGGGTGGCTCAGCCAGTTAAGTGTTTGCCTTTGGCTCAGGTCATGATCCCAGGGTCCTGGGATCAAGTCCCATGTTGGGCTCCCTGCTCAGTGGGGAGTCTGCTTCTCCCTCTACCCTTCCCCCCGATCATGTTCTGTCTCTCTCTCACTCTCCCTTCCTCTCAAATAAATAAATAAATAAATAAAATCTTTAAAAAAATATATCAATTCATCCAAAACACCCCCACATAAATGTCTGGAATAATGTTTGACCAAATGTTTTTGCAATGTGGGCCAGGCAAGTTGACATATAAAATTAACTATCACAATAGGCACATAATAACTATTTGTTGAATGAGTGGCTGAGTGAATAAATACACGAATGAATGAACTTAAGGAGGGTGAGAGTCCTGCCCTGGTCACACAGCTGGCAAAAAGAAGGTGCAGGTCTTCTGAACTCGCAGGCTGCTGTTCTCACCACCCCTCCCCAAGGCTTCTCTGAACAGTGACCAGAGCTAGCCTTGTGTGGTTCCTGGGGCTGTTGTCAGAGCACAGAAGACTTTCTCCTGCAAGCTCTTGACATTCCACAAAGGTTTATGTTCATGTCTGGCATCATTACAAAGCACTCCTGTCTAGAATTATTATCAAGTAGGCCTTTTGATAGAAATGCTCACCTGTGTTACCTGAAGTCATTAAAAAATTATTTTACAAAAAGGAAAGCCTCACTTAAAATCTCCTGCAGGCGTGGATAAGCAAAGAGCTAGGCACTGTGGTGTGGCGATCTGGCCCTAACCCACTAACCTACCCAACAAATTGTTGCCCACTTCCCTTTGTGCTCTCCGCCTTCCAACCAAATTAAGCAACTTCCTGTTCCCTGTGCAGACCATGAATTAATTCCCTCCTTCCTGTTTCACCTGGTGCTGTTACCACAGCTAGAATGCACCGCCCCCTACATTTCATCCATTTATTTATTCATTCAATAAATATTTCTTAAGCACCTAAATGGGGCAGGTGCTATCTCTGCGCTGGGCACACAGTGATGAGCAAGAGAGATAAGGTGTCTGCCCTTCCAGACCTCACATTCTAGTATTGGGAAAACAGACAATTCAAACCAGTAAATGAACAAGATGATTCCAGGTGGTGATTAGCGCTGGGAAGAAAGTCAGGAAGTAATAACAGGTTGCAACAAGCTGATGGGAAGATAGTGCCAGGGTTGGGGAGAGGTGTCTTGTAGATTGGAGCTCAGGGCTGGTGTTTGAGGAGAGACCCCAGCCACCTGGCGGCTGAGGGGAGAACGTTTTAGGTAGAGGCAAGTGCCAAGGCATAGGGTTGAGCAAGCTTGATGGGTTAGAAGAACAGAGGAAAAAAAAACAAAAACAACCAAACAAATGTGTATTGCATACTTTGTCAGGCATGTGCTAGGTTCTGTGCATATAAGGATAAATAGGGCTTGGCCTTTTTTTTTTTTTTTAAGATTTTATTGATTTGACAGAGACACAGCAAGAGAGGGTACAGAAGCAGGGGGAGTGAGAGAGGGAGAAGCAGGCTTCCCATGGAGCAGGGAGCCTGATGCGGGGCTCGATCCCAGGACCCTGGGATCATGACCTGAGCCGAAGGCAGACGCATAACGACTGAGCCACCCAGGCGCCCCAGGGCTTGGGCCTTTCTCCGAAGAGTTCGTTATTTTGGCGGGGAGGCAGAAATCATAGCTGACACCTTTGCGGGGATGTGCCCGGACCATGGAGTCAACGACCCCGCCCGCTCCTTACCCCGCCCGGCGCTGCGGGCCCCTGGCGGCCATGTTCGGTGCGGGAGCCCGTCCTGCGGCGGCCACGGCTGATTGGCCCTGAGTGATCACCTGACCTCAGCAGGTCCAATCAGGCTCCCTCCTCCCAGGACGGCGGGGTGGGGCCTCAGGCGCTACCCCCGGTTGTGGCTGGCGCTAGAATACTGCTTAGCTCCATAAAACGGCCTCTGGCAGCTGCTGTGAGGGTGACGGGCCGTGCCGGTTTCCCCGGGACTGAGAGGTTTCTGTGGAAAAACCAGGAGAGTGGCAGGCCGACCGGCACAGTCGGTCACCCTGTCCGCTGTGCGCCAGGCTGAGTGTTGAACCTGAGAATTTAGGAGCTGCGGGGTGGTGCGCCCGTCCCCGTGGCTGGAGCAGCCCAGAGGCCGGTGTGCTGGGGCTTCTGGGGGTCTCTCTGAGCCCCCGACGACTTTGTTTGACCCTCTCTCACACCACTCACCGCCGCCTCCCTTACATGTCACCTTCTAGAGTGTAAAAACCCGCGTATGATTCATCTTTGCGCTTCTCCCCAAACGTAGTGTCTAGCCTGTCTTTTGTATAGAAAGTGCTCGGTTCAATTATTATATGCAAGTAAGGGGTTCTACACAGCCAGGGGAGTGTGAATATTCTTCCTGAGTGATGACAATCTCTTGCACTTGTGTGGTGCTGCCGTCTATAAAGCATTTTTTTTTTAAAGATTTTATTTATTTATTTATTAGAGAGAGACACAGCGAGAGAGGGAACACAAGCAGGGGGAGCGGGAGAGGCAGAAGCAGGCTCCCCGCTGAGCAGGGAGCCCGATGCGGGGCTCGATCCCAGGATCTTGGGATCATGACCTGAGCCGAAGGCAGACGCTTAACGACTGAGCCACCCAGGCGCCCCTATAAAGCATTTTCAAGTTCATTAACTGACGGGCATCCAACTCTTCAAAATTTGGGTATTAGGGACGCCTGGGTGGCTCAGTCGGTTAAGCGTCTGCCTTTGGCTCAGGTCACGATCAGAGGCTTCTGGAATCGAGCCCCATGTCGGGCTCCCTGCTCCGCGGGGAGTCTGCTTCTCCCTCTCTTTCTGCAACCCCTCCTGCTCATGCTCTCTCTCTCTCAAAATCTTTTTTAAAAATTTGGATATTGATAATAATAATAGCAGCTGCTATTTATTTTGAGTATATTCTGTGGGTTAACGGACAAAAAAATACCTTGAGGCTCAGAGAGAGGAAGAGATTGGCTCAGAATCCCCAACTTTCTATGTCACAGATCCGACCACAGAGCCTTGTGTTCAGGCTGCAGACCCATATTCTCTCTGCCCAGCCAGGATCTCAGGCTGCTCAGCCCCTCCTGCTGGCTCTGCCCTGACGCCCTGGGGTGCTGTAGGACTCAGGTCACTCAGTTTGCCAGTCTGGCCAACTCAGGCGAATTCGGCTCTCAGGAGTCTCTGTGGTTGCCATGGCACCTTCCCTAGGCTCCTCTCAGTGTAAACCTGGGGGCGAGCTGTTTTGAAGCAAATGGGGAAAACAAATTTTCCCACTAATGCGGACAACTAGCAAACAGGCTGCCTCTCCTCAAAATTTCTTTCAGGTGGGTCTGGGGCCATGGAGTCCAATCGCTCCATTTCACAGGTGAGGAAACTGAGGCCTGGAGTGCTTAGAGTTTCACAGAGAGATTTTGTGCCTTGGCCAGGAGGGTCTATGGACTCAGAGAGACCTGGGTTCCTATCCAGCCCCTACATGACATTGAGCAAGCTCCCAAACTGCTCTGAGCTCTGGATTCCTCATCTGTAAACTGGGGATTGTGCCCCTCCTCCCCTGAAAGAGTTATGTGAAGGCTTAAATCAAATCATATACATAAAAGTGCTTTACACAGTGCCTGGCATATGAATGAGGCCGTTGCCCAAGGTCACCCTGCCCAAGGTGGGAGAAGGGGCATTGTTACTAGATTCAGGAGATGTGGGTTCTGATCTTGATTCTGCTACTAACTTGCTGTGTGTCAGTCCCTTTATACTGCTTTGCACCTCAGCATCTTTCTCTGTAAACCGAAGGAGGGTTGGACTAGATGATGCCTAAGCTTTTTTTCCAGTTCTACAGTTCTGTGCATCTGGTGATAGAATGCTAGTACCAGGGCCCCTAAATCTGTCTGTTTCACCACACCTCCCTGCCTCGCTACCAGATGGCCCTGGGGCCCAGCCAGGAGGCCAGCACCCCGAGCCTGAGGGCCCTTTAAGGAGAGAGAGATGCCTCTGAGGATAGGAACTTTCCATGAGGGCTGGGGCTGTGGACACTCATTTGGCTCCCCAGCACCTCCCTCTGGTTCAGGGTTTTGCCCAGGCTTTGTGGGGAGAGGCTGGGGAGGGGAGGACAGGGATGGGAGGCAGAGAAGGATACCTTGGAAGAGGCAGAGTAGGACTTGCCAGGAGGGAGTACCCATCTGACAAGGTCAACTGAAAGCAGTTATTAATACTCAGCATCAGAGTGTGCAGATGAGAGATGGGCAGCTTCCATGCTCCAGAGAGTAATTACCGAGGATGGAGGAGGAGGACGGAAGGCAGGGGGTAGCATTAGGGATTCCAGCCGAGGGAATGAGAACTCCAGATGGAGGGAGGAGAAGGCTGGGTATGAGGTGGGAAGCTGAAGGGAATGAGCAGAGAAAACAAAGTGGAGAAAGGCAAAGCAAGAGCTGATTTGTTGTCTAAGGAAAATGACAGCTTGATAGATAAAACAGGAGACAGAGTGTGTTCATTCTGCCATCCTGTGCCTCCCTCACTGTCCCCCAGGAGGCAGGCAGCTGAGGCACTGTGCATGTTCTCCGAGTAGAAGTCCCCAGAAGGCCCTTCTCCCCACAAGGTCACACTCAACTGCCTGGGTTGCTGGAGTCCCACGCCTCAGAGGCCCATTGTTTTGTGTAACACCTCAGCCTCTATTCATGCAGCTCTAGTTGGCTCTGGGCTGGGGAACTCAGCCTGTCGCACACTGTCCTCCCAGCCACTGTCCCTTCCCTGCTGCTCTCACTCAAGTCCCTTCTACCCTGCCCCTCAGCATCCACCCCCACCACCCCCTAAACAAGCTAATCCTGCAGTTTGACGCTTGTGAATTAACTCTAGGCAGGACCCAGCTCACCGTTCAGTACATGGACCCAACACTGGCCAGATCCCAGGGATGGCTCCGTCTTGGTCTGGGAATCACTTTGCCTCACATTGGGAAAGGAAGGTTATTGTAGTAACAGTACTAGCCAGGATGGGAGCTTATCAAATGTTTCCATTGTGTCAGGAACTGCAGCAAGCTCTGTGTTTGCATTGCCCTATTTATCTTCTTCATAATCCTATCAGATGTGTTATATTAGCAGTTCCTCTTAATAGATGAAGAAATGGAGACTTGGTGAATCTGGTAAACTTATCCAGAGTCACCTAACTAGCATGTGGCAGACCCAGTCTTCAAATGCAGAGTCCATACTCTTAATCACAGATTTCCACCTCCCAGTTTCAAAACAAATATGCATTCATGCCAGGAAACCATGTTCATTTATTTCAGTGTCACTCTTCTTGGGATATTACCCACGCATGGATGCATCCTTCAGGAAAGCTTTAAGCTGCTAGTAACCAAAGGACATGACTAGGAGTAGCTTACACCAGAGGTCTTGACACAGGCAGTCCAGAGCTGGTGTACTTAGAACTCAACAGCATCACCAAAGACCCAGGCTTGTTCCATCTTTCCACTGACAACCTCACCATACTGGCTTTTCATTGTCATGTTTACTGCATGATTGCAGGATGGCTGCTACAGCTCCAGGCATCATATCAGCATCCCAAGGTGGTTTGGGCAAACAGTTTTCTTCTGATGGGCCTTTGCTTTTCATTCTGGGAAAAGAAAGCCTGTCAGCAGATTTGTTTTTACATCTGGTGGTTACATATCCACCCGTAGGATGCAGGATGATGTAGGGAAGTATGTATTATGGTGGCTCCTGCTTAACAAATCATCCCCAAACCTAGTGGCTTGAAACCACAACCATTTATTGTCCATCAGCTGTCTGTGTATAGCTGAGTAGTTCTGTGATCTGAGTCAGCCTGGGCTGATCTCAGCTGATCTCGGCTGGTCTTGTTGTGCCTGTGGTCAACTGTAGGGTCTGTTGTGGGTTGCCTGGTCTACGATGGTCTTACTCACATGCCTAGTGTTGGCTGGTTGTCAGATGGGGGTGATGGGGTGATGAGTCTCTTTATCCAGAGAGCTAGCCCAAGCTTGTTTCCATGGCAGTGGTAGAGTTCCAAGAGATCGGATGGAAGGATGCAAGGCCTCTTGAGATCCTAGACTCTGAGCTGGCATGCTGTCATTTCCATCCCATCTTTTGGGCAAAGCAAGTCACAAAGCTGACCCAGGTACAGGGGTAGGAAATGGACTCCACTGCTTGATCGAAAGAGCCATAAGGTCCCATGGCCAAGAGTATAGACACAAAGAGGAATGAAGAATTGTGACCATTTTGCAATCTACTAAAGACTGCCATAATTTACATATTTTGTTTAGGTTAGTTCACCCCCTGAGGTGGGGAAGGAGCTCCCTTTCCCAAAATCCAGGGAACACCCCTACCCCTGATCAGAGTTCAGTTGCAGAGAATAAGGGGAAGACATGGTTCTTGGGCAGGTGGGTGGCAGTGTCCGGACAGGGGTCTAATCCCGGGTGCAAGGAGGCGGTGGGAGATTTTGCAGCTTCAGCTTCTCCCTGTCACCTTCCTTCTTCCGAAGACAGTGATTTTCATCTGTCTTTTGTCGATGCCTGGTCTGGGCCTCATGATGTTTCCTCTAACAGGTATGTGCTTTTCCTCCTTACAAAAACAATTTTAAAAATAAATAAATAAAACAAACTCCACCCCCTGCCCCCATCCACCAAGGTTGTGGGAAAATCCAGTGTCAGAGAGGAGAGGGCCTGGTAGGGGGATAGTTTAAGCTTTCCTTCTCCTTCCTTGAGGTTTGCAGGATCCAGGAAACATGAGGCAAAGACCTTTGGCATTCTATCCATCCAGGTCACCCCTGAGATGCTTTTGTTTAAGACCTCAGGGTCCACTTGAAAGCAGGAGCCTTTATCTCTCCTCCCTTGACTCTGAACTTGTTGCAGAAATTTTCCAGGCTCTTACTTACGACTCATCAAAGTCCTCACCCAGGAAACCTACAACCTCCTCTGTCCTCTCCTTCTCAGGGAGTCCAGTCCTCTCCTGCTGTGGCCACCCTCCCTCTTCCACTCCATTCCCTCTTCCTCTGGACAGACCCAAGCCTCCCCAGCAACATCTGGGTGGGATGGTCTTCTAGGAACCCAGGACCTGACTGTGCTCCCGGGAGGGAGATGTGCCTCCAGGGAACAGACAATGTGTGATAGAAACTAATCTGGAGGAGCAGGGAAGGGAACGACATCTCAGCTGAGATGTGATGGGGGTGTTGGAGGGGGTTTGGTGACAAAGGGCCTGGGGAGCCTGCGGTAGAATGTTCCAGGCAGAGGAACCATGGTCACAGCAGTAGCTAACACATATTGAGCCCTGCCTACATGCTGGGTGCTGTAAAGCAGGTGCTTTTGTTGTCCCCATTTTATGAAGCTTATGGAAGAAGTTAAATGACTCACCCAAGGTCATATAGCTAGTAAGTGGCTGAGCTGGGATTTCAACCAGTCTGACCCCAAACCACCCCCCTCTGCTTAACCACGTAGATGAATCTGGAGGTGGGAGAAGCAGGTTATTTGGAGAACCACCAGCAGCTTATTTTGGCTGGAGGATGGCATGTGAAGGGGAAGGTGG